TTTATGTTACTGACCATCTCTGTCTTCCGTCGCATGCATTCGGACTATTCGTTTTGAAAAAACCGTACTCAGAGGAAATGGCCTGTGATTGTACGATACATTACGGTTGAGTAGTTGAACGAATGGTCTTCTAAACCTTTGATTCCATTTAACTCATTCGGTGAAGTTTCGTTTTATAAATTAGAAAACATGAGACTTAGTAGTCCGGCAGATCGAATGCGCATGAATTTTTTCAAAAAGTTTTTGATGCCTAAAATTTCGGGTCTGAATCTGGAGGTGACGGAATGTGCTTTCCTAGTAATGTACAATATAATATAATATAATAATATAACATAATAATATAATATATGTATGTATATAATAATATAACATAATATAACCTGAGATAACATGTATTCTTTATATCATAATTTATATATTATTATTTATATTGTTACATTATTACAATATATTATATTATATATTATATATTATATATGAATATATGAATATACATAACATACATAATATATATACTGCCTAAAGTGGCAGTTCAGGATCAGCACCATATGTGCGTTGAGTGGAACTAAACGACTGCCGACCGAAGTGGCATTCTCAACACAAAGTACAATAGCAAACTACTCTGACGTCGTGTATCCGAAGCGCAAAACAAAATGACAATTAGTGATGTGCATCATTCAATGCGGAAGATTGATTTTAGGCATCAGAATGCTCCGGTGGGCCTACAGTGAAAGTTCAAAGACCAGGTCTGAGGAGGATCCTTATTTTCGCCAGTGTTTGAATTTATATTTAAACACCCTGGGTACCACATGTCGAATCCTGATTGGCAGACAGTTCCGCCAAGTGCACAAGGAAATAGGACAAGAACTGTGCGTGAAAGTGCCTGAAGACAAAGAATCGTTGCTCTGTTGACGCGCCTTCTGCTTTGCCAATAGATCAGCCAATGAAAGTCACGCACGTGACTGAAATGCCCGGGGTGAGATGATCTTTGGTCACAGCCAGATGAACGATGTTTGACCTGATCGTAATAATGATATACGCACAATGACTAGTGAACTTTGTGCTTTTGAATCTAACCGGACAATGTTTAAAACCTTATACTTTCACAACAAACAAAAATTAGGCATAGCACCGTGCAGTTTCATGTGATGCAAACCATTCGCCAACGATTGCGCTTAGGCCGTCGACGATGTTGACTGATCATTCGCGCGGCGACTGAAATCAATTTTGGGCTATGGAACTGATGTGGTCATTTTACTGTTAGGGCCCACTGCGACCGGGGTGAAAACGCACGTCTGTCGCGACTCAGTAACTCCAGTAGCTCTCCAGTAACTCTTTTCACGTTGTGCTATATGGCAACAGGAGACTAAACCACACCCTTAACTTCCGGTAAAGTTCTAAATCCAGAAGCCAACAACACTGCTAAACTGTAGTCTTTCAAAATTTCAAACAGGCTGATCAACGAACCAAAATATTTCAACGAAAATTTTGGAATTCACACAGATTTCAGAAGAAGCCATGATAGGGATGGTGGACACGCGAGCATGTATTTGATACTATGTAGAGCGGGACATTCAACAAGTGTTTACATGTAGAAACCTGAAGCGAAACGAGTACACAGCTGTGATAACTTCAGGAATGCGGCACAACTCCGCAATAAGGGTATTCTCAACAAAGAACACCCGGCATTTAGGGATGATCGTAGAATTCTCCGAGTCGCTACCGACGAAGACCGGCGCACGACTCCTTACTCAAACTTAGTGCCAACCTCTCACCTGGGATCCTTTCGTTAGACACTAATGTGTTGTTTAGTGGCAACTTCTTTTCAATGTCACAGTATTGATTCTCACCCACGAAGGCGAGGGTGAGTGGGCTGGTGTTGCTGGGAACTGGTTCAATA